CACACTGTCTAGAAAATTTCACTGGGAAATCTTGAGAAGTTTAATATAATCTGACGATTTAAAAATAGTGAGACTAGGGTAACAGCATTCTTAAGAGAAATGGGGTGATTTTTGGGGGGAGGGAGGGGAGAGAAGAGAAAGAAAAGGGGAAAACCCTGCAACTAAAATCAAACTGCTGCTATTTGGAATGTCCATTTGAGATGAGCTATGAGAAGTTAATTGTTGAACAGCCTCAGTCATAATTGATTTCCTAAGTTTTTTTTATTTAATGTCAGTCATCGAGATTATCTTGAGAATAATACCATACATGTGTTGTTAGAAAGTGTAGCATAATGTGTTAGTATAATAATTTTAGAATCGAGGTAATTCTTCTACAGAAAATAAATGTAAGAAAAGGTAAATATTAAGTTCTGAACCAATCAACTGGTCATATTCTTTTCTTATACACTTCTGGATATGCAAGTAGTAGCACTGTCCTAGACCATGTTTTAATTTGGTGGGGACTATAAAGTGAATACTCTATGATAGAATATTGCAGTGATTTCTGATAAGAATTATGCCCAAAGATTACTCTTAAACTCTAGTACATTCCAAATAAGGAAACTCACTGGCCTACTGATTTTAATTATTGAGGTATCACAGCTGTGTCGTTCAGTGACTTCCAGATGATTTTCACATTCAGTTTATAGTGTTGATTCTCATTTTCAAAGGAGCATTGTCTTTAGGTCCTGTTTATCTCAGGAACCTATATATATATTCTTTACCTGTCTTCACATCACTGATTGTTATCCACCAAAGTATGAAAGCATATTGTGTTCTGTTGTAAAGTGGTAAGGACAGATTACACATATAACTTCACTGAGGAACCTTCAGCTCTGCCAATACTCTCCATTCTAGCAGATGTTCCAGTTGGTTTATCAGACCCATGGAATTAAGTAGCATCAGATCTAAGCAGAGAGCCAGATGCTTTCTTGGTCATATTCTGTAGGAATTTAGTTGGATATGGTTAAAAAATTGTGCTTGATTTGTTAAATATTGACTCAAATGAATCAAATCTTTCTTCCACCTTAATTTAAGAAATCATAACATATGGCTTTATGACTTGCTTTTGTTTATTTTTTTTTTCTGAGTCTGAAATATTATTAGTACAAAGGAGTGGGCTTCCTGATTTTGGAAACCCTACTTTGCTACAGTGACTCACTACATGAAGTCTCCAAGTCAGTTATCTTGTGTCTTGTTTTTCTCATCTGCAAATTGGGGATGGTGATACATGCATGTTAGATCATCTACAAAAAGGCATGTTAAAGTTATAACAGCCGTTTCCTTTGAAGATCTTAATTTATTAACTACTTTTCTGGTGATCTTTCCTCTCCGCATTAGTGCTAGCCTCATTTTTTATTTAAAACTTATTTATTTTTGAAGATAAATGCAGTTAATTATTATTCTATTATTCTATGAATTATGATTGCTGTAATGCTTGCATTGTAATCTTGCTTGGCCATCTAAGAAACAAATGCAGTCTTTGAGACCTCAAATTCAATGCTGAGAGAGTTCTTAGCAATACTTTAAATGACTACAAAAGTGGTTTGCACTGTAATTTGTATATCCAGGTGCAGCTAAAATTGCAGAAAAAAATGGACTGCTTGACACAGAAAATGTATTATTCTTTTAATGTGGAATACTTCAGGAATGTAATTCCTAATTTTTTGAAAGAAGAAGCTGTAAAAGAAATTTTATGATGTAGAATTATCTTAGCTTTCTCCTCAGTTCATTAGCAGATTTTGGACTTCAGGTCCAAATCACAAGCACTTTAACTCTTAGAATAATGGTGTTAGTATTGGACAGCTATCTCCTGTCTCAATTAGTGATTAGAAAGAAATGGAAAGCATGTTTTGACAATGGCTTTCAAAATAACTTCATAAAGCAGAGGACTGTGGAGTATGGACTACTAGATTCTCATCTAAATTCTGTATTCTTGTTGTTTTGGTTTTTCCCTTCTGCTTCTTGCTCTCCTTACCCATTTCTGTGCCTTTACATCTCCAGTCCCTCACCCCTGAACAAGCCCTTTATCTCTGTATTCTCTGGATACCTGAAGTGCTCCCTTTTCCTTTTTCCCTGCACTCTTCTACACCCTTTCCGCCAGATGCCTCCCCACACTGAATGCATACAGAGCCCAGAAAGCCCTGCAGACAGTCCCTATTTTTCTATGTTTTTTCATCTTTTTTTTTTTTTTTGCAAGTTTAATACACAAGTAGGCTCCAGCAATTAAAAGGTAAAGGAATTAAATGAAAGAGAAGATCTTGCTCAGTCTCTGTGCTCCTACATGAAGCTACAGATTTGTTTTGTAGGTATAACATAGTGAGAGTTCAACTAGAGATAGGGCTGTGTATTTGTAAATCTGTATGAATGAAAACTTTGGAGTTTCTTGCCAAATTCTAACAGCCTATTGTGTAACCTGCAGGGGAGACAGGGTCAAAAGCTGATGGTTTTGTGCATCTGGATAAGTTGACATAAGATTTGTGACAGGAACCTCTCTGATAGTGGATGACTTAATTTTCACGTTTCAAAGCCTAGGCAAGCTGCAACTGATAATCAGAATAGTTGCAGAAATTATGTTAATACATTTCTCCCTTATATCATCTTAAAAAGACAAACTATTTTAGCTGAAATGAGTAAAGAAAATCAGATGTAGAAAACTTCATTCTCTGTAGCAAAAAATTGACCTTGATAAGCATCTAGAAACAACATCTTAAACTTGAAAATTCAAACAATGTGAACACCATAGATTTTTACGTCTTTCAGTTACTGATTGATAACTGACAAAAGCCTTGAAAAGTTCTCTCTTATATTGTTTAAAAGATGTAGCCAAATTTGAAGATCCTGAAAACAGATTTATTGTAAAGGAGATCATCAAAGAAATTGGGGAACCTCAGAATTATGGTTTGACAGATGAAGAAAAACAGAATTTGGAACGCAAAGCAGCTGAGGAATGCCTTGTCAGAGAAGCTCAAGAAAAAGCTGAACGAGAGCGTCAAGAAGCTGAGGAAAGGACTGAAAGGATGGCAAATTGGGAAGAGTGGGTAGGTTAATATATATTTTTTGGAAACCATTATTATTTATGTATTTTAGATGGCTTCCAGCAATCTGTTATGTAAACACATTCAGAAAGTGTGGCATAAATTCTCTAGTTCCTTATATCATACTTTAGATCTGGTACATTTTGAGGCCCAGCCTAAAAAACATAGCTTTTTTTTGATCACAGACATAGCATTATGGTTTTTTTGCATGTTGGTATCAACATGTCTTTAAAATATTTTTATGATACTCTTGTTTTGCTGTGCTATAGTTCTTTTATTTAACCATTTATAAATATCTACTATAATCCATGGTGTTTTCCCATAACCAGTCTTCTAGGACTTTCACATTTTGCTCACTTTACTTTCTAAGCAGCTGACCAAGTCTTAATTATCGTGCCTTGCAAACTGTATTTTAACTCAACATTGATCAATATTCCAGTCTGCATTGCAGAAGGATTTCTGAGCCTGCAAGAGAAACACCTTTGAGAGTCCTCAGTTCAGTGAGGACTACCTGATGCAGTCTGAAGAATGCCTTTTGTTTTCCAGTACTTTAATCAGTACTTGGTATTTAGGCTACCTGACCTCACTGAATTTGCACATGATGCTTCTTCCTTATTTACTTTGCCACGCCTGAGGACATTTTAGGTAAATACCCTGAAATGCATACTATAGGAATGTTCTTGTTCACACCCAAAGTCAGGTTGTTTCACCAAAGGCAGTTCTTCTATTGTCTCCTTTTAAGAGCTACTTAAAAAGAAACTGACCATTCCACAGAGAAATCCTTTTCTTTCATTTGAATGCCCATACACTTCTAGGGGGAAATAATACCCTGAAATTACTCACTTTTAAAGAAGCATTCACATTGCTCTGATGTTGGCTTCTCTACGCTTATTTTCAGCTTCATTCAACATTAACTAGCATGTTGTAATCTCTGTAAACTTGTCTGAAAGATCAGTAAGCATAGTTAACACATTTTTAGCTGTATTCAATCCAAAGCCATCTAACTTTCAAGAAAGCAAACTGTGCGTTATTCAAAGCTAAAGTAGGTGTTTAAATAAAATGTGTGCTTAAATTTATCCTTTGAAATAGGCAGATGCTCAGGAAATCTAAGCAAGTATTCATTTGCTCTTGAGACTGTAGATTAGCTGCTGTCTCTGAGTAAAGTTACCAAAGACCCCTTACAGGATTTATTCAGTAGCACTCCTGGCCTGAGTGAGTAAGATAAATGTCCTTTCCAGTTATCGGTATACCGTTTTTGTCTGAGCATTGATTTTGTGTTATGCCTTGAGTATAGAAAAGCAGTCTTCAGAGTATCATCTGCTTGCTGTATCTATATGACTCAGGCTACTGGTGAATAAAATGAGAGAAGAGAGGACAATAAAAATGTTTCTGAGTAATCTTCTGGCTAAAACTACTGCAAGTATGCATGCTATTAAGTGCTGTTAAATGGAAGAAAGCAAAACTCGCAGTGGTTTTATTTCCACCCCCTCCTCCTACTTTTTGAGTGTAATCATCGTCTTTGATTTAACCCGAATTAAAGAATAAATCTAGCTGGTGTAAACAGATGTAATTCCCTGTGTTTTTAGTCTATTTAACTCTTATACCCCGTGAAAACTGACCTAAATAAAAGAAAACAGAACAACAAAAAAACTAACCCAAAACAAAAAAAACCCAACCCTCCACAATTTACAGTTACTGAAAAGAGTTAGGGCTCTCTACTGAGTGAAAATATTCTCCGTCCCCTCCAGTTCAAAGAACCCTCAAAAAACGGTCTGCATTTGCAATAGTACTAATTTTTTAAATGATAAAGTGTATTTCAACCATTTCGCCAAATATGAAGACTTCAGAATAAACCTCCTTTTAGGTGTTAAAGAGAGAAAAATAAAATAATTTTACTAATGAGGTTATTTCAGTTTTCATTATGTTCAATTCTTTGTCCTCAGTGTGCCATTGTGCTCTGAAATTAATAAGCAGTTCATAGTTTCTCCTGCTAGGTTGTGAGCTTTAAAGTTCTGTCGACAGCTTCTAACACTATTTTTTTTTTCTCTAGGCCACCATTATTATTTGGTAAAGTGCTATTTGGTAGATGCTATAAACCTTATTCTTTATTATTTTGTTCATTATTTGTAGAATAAACATCGGGAGGAAGTGAAAAGACAAGAACAAGAGTTATTAGAGGCCCAGTCCATTCCTCTACGAAACTATTTAATGAAGAATGTCATGCCAACGCTTATGCAAGGGATAAATGAATGCTGTAGGATCAGGCCAGATGATCCAGTAGATTTTCTGGTAAGGTGATTACATTTTTTTTCTTAAATATCTTTTAAAAACCTTAATAAAAATATTCACGTAGACCCAAAGAATCTCTGTTAACATAAAGACTTAAAAATTCTTTTTCCCCAATGTCATGATGACAATTAATTAACAGATAGTAACTGCAATTCTAGCAAGCAGTAATTATGGTGAAAACTAAAAACCCAGCATCCACTGTATGGGATCAGTTGATACTGGTATCGAGTAAGGGCATAATCCAGCTTTGCTAAACAGCAACAGGACAAGAATCATACCAGAATCAGTTTCTCTTTGGTGTGTGCACTCTGCACATTTTACCCTGCCAATTCTGCTGTGACATAGAGACCTGCAGAAAGGGGGACATCATTTCTATCCTGCTTACAGCCCTCTAAGCAAAACAGAACACAGTACTGCAGTGATGAATGAAAGCTCTTCAGTAATTCCCTTCACAGTGCACAGATAAATCCTCTAAGACATTCATAGAATAATTCCAGTTGCAAAGGACCTCAAGAAGTTACCTAGTTCAACTTTTGTCTGAAAGCAGGTTCAGCATTGTATTCAGACAAGAACTCAGATGCTGTAAAGTTGTTGCTGTACTGCTGTTCTTCCTGCACATCCTAAGTTATTAACAAACTATCACTGTTTTAATGAAAAGAAACATTTTCTTAACAAAGCAAAAGCTTAAAATAAAAGCATCAGTGTTACATGCCACTTTAAGCCCGAAAGAACATTTAATTGTTTTAAACTTTTTGCTTACTGATGAGTGACAACTATGTGTAGCTGTAGGAGCATTAGATCTTCACTACTAACTGGATAACTTTTAAAGTTCTGTATTATCTACTCTTCTGGGTCCAGAAATCAGGCCCTAGGGTACTCCCTAGGACCTCCATGGAGTGACAAATACTGTCATGAATAGCTCACTTCCTTCTTTTGCCCCCCAAAAGATATGGAGTGACTGCTACCATGAGGTGGATGGTATTTTGGATGGTATTTGTGGGGAAGAGGTTTCTCTGACCTATCTGCTAGAAATTACATTTTAGAGCCATTTAATACTTTCTTCAATTTTGTTTACAGCAATGTTATCCACTATATTTTTGTTCTTTTATATAAACTTTAAAATTGGAGACTTGAAAAATAGTGTAACTTTGAGACTCTTCTGTTTATAGGCAGAATATCTCTTCAAGAACAGTCCTGATATTGAATGAGACAAACATTAAATCCTAACAGCTGTTGAAATCCTGAAGTAGAAAGGGAGAACATTCCTAATATATTTTAAATAAAAATACTTAGTTTCTGAATTTTTTTGTTTAGGCTTACTATGTAATCTCCATTTTTATTTCTCATACTTTACTATGTTGTATTGGGTTTTAATATTCCTTCCACAAAAGTACCATTTACTGCACATATTGATTAATACATTTATGCATCTGTATTTCATATGTCTATTTGAAACTGTGAAACAGTTATTAAGAATTAATAAAAATTAAGAATCTGTTCTCTCCAAAACTTTCTGGAATTTTTTCAGTTACACATTCTGTTTAAGCAGTATATTCTTGTCCTGATCCATATCAGACATAGGCAGCTAGCCTGAGAAAAACTTTTCTTAAAAAAAAAAAAATAAAGTGTTTTTGCCAACAATGGAAATAAATACAAGCAGCAAGCTCTCTTATTTCCCCTCCTAGCTACCAAGACACAAAAAGTCACACAACATAGTCTTCCTGTGCTGCACTGCAGACTGATTGGTAAACAGTTTCCCAGTATAGGTTTGTCATTAAACCTGAGTTTTTCTTTGGTATGAAACAAATGAGTGTAGTTCTTATTTAACTCTCTTAATCATTCAATATTTGATATGTTTTTTATAGATTCTTGAAGAATCTAGAGTTTCCAGTATGTGGCTCTAATTCCCTTTTTTTATTGATTTCATGCACTTCTTACAGAAACTGTTAATATCTATGCTGACTGACCTGAAACTGATCGCATATTTGGTATAAAACAAATACAGGATTTTGTCAAAACAGAAAGCAAGGACTGTTTGGGAGAAGGGGGGAAAAAAAAAAGAGGAAGAACTGAAAGAATGGTGAAGTGGAAACATTGTACACATATTTTATCTATTACTTCTAGTATTAGAATTTTGGATGTATTAATGCCCAACATTCTTATTGAGATATATTAGTATTTGTAGAGATAAACAGTCTTGTTTCATCTGTTTTGACGCAGACAAGTCAATGATGATAGCCAGGAACAGTTCAGAATCATCATCTCCTACTCTAAAGAAACATTTCTTTGGAATCTAAATTTACTACATGCTGCCAGTCCAAGTTACCATTTATCACATGAGGCAGTTGAAGATGAAATAATTGGTAATTTTAGAGAAATTGTTAGAGAGTCCTGTTTTTCAAAGTAAAGATGAAAATAGGACAGTAAAAAAAGGAGACAAAACAGGTCAGATTTTTTTTTGTGTGTGTGTAGAGTTGCTGTAATACATTTACTTTTCCAGGAATAAAGTTTTGAGCTGATCTGTAAAGAGTGTTTGGTTTTTTTTCTTGAAACTTTTCTGAAATTTATGCAATCTATTACAGGCAGAGCTTTCAAAAACAATTATTAGAAAAGGATCTCTTTGCTGCGCATAAAAACCAAAACAAGCCCGACGCAGGTAGGTATGAACAAAACACACGCACAGAGCTAGCTCTGAACTGTAACCCTTCATCCTCCAGAGGAACAGAGCGGGGGACCCAAGAGGGTTTCACTCGGCCCGTGTGAGCCGATCA